TCGCGATTTGATTTGGACTGTCCGATCGCGTTTAAATAAGAAGTGAATCTGAACCATTCATCGCGATTTGATCTGAACCGTATGATCGTGTTTAAAGAAAAAACAGATTCGGACCGTCCACACGCGCGAGAACAAATTCGGATCGTCCGATCGCGGTCACGCAGATTGCTAGTGTGGCCTTCCGCTTGGCACCACGCTAGCGTGCCTTGCCACGCAGCGTACTCCGATTTGTCGGGATTGCTGACTAGACGTCTTACATGACACTTTTTTCTTAAATTGCGTTTTAACCTTCAGTTTCTGATTTTTCTTTCAAAAATACCATCAGAACCCAAATTTTCACATTTTTTTTTCAAAATTATTTTCAATTTCATCATCCACCTATTTTTTTTCATTTTTACATTAAATAAAAATTCAAAAATTTAAATTATATTTATACATTAATTTTAAATATATTAAAATTAATTAAGAGTATTACAGAACTTGAATCACAATATTGCATTAAAGGATACCCAATAGATGGTGGCCATGGAAGAGGAATTAAAGGTGGCCATACCTTGTCACTAGTTCCCTTGCCACAAAGTATGAATGTTTTTAGGTCAAAATAGATTCATCGTATTAAGCAACGAGAGGATGGCTCTGTTTAAACTATTCTTTAAAGTGTTCAAAATGATCTAATCAGTTTCAGCTTTTTCCATTATAAGAAAATAAAAGAAAACTGAGCGTTTGAAATAAATGAAAAACATTAACGACTAAATTATAATAAAAAAACATTAAAGACTAAGTTGTAACTAGTGTAAAACTTTGAGCACTAATTCAGTAAGTTAACTATATTACAAGTACTAGGCTTCCTTTGGCACAAAGTTTTCATAGTTATTATTCTCTAAATTTAATATCATTTATACATATTTTATTATGTATTTGCATGATAACTGAGAAAAAAATCTTTGTTCCCTATATAATTGCATTAACAACGCTTTTTTTTCAACCAAATTCATTTTATATTTTCATTCTACTTTCGACACATTCTCGTTTCCAGCTATTATACTCACACATGTTTTCAAGTATAGATACAGGAATCTAAGAAATGATAAAAAATTATTTTCATTTCCTAAACAGAACCTTGTTATCTATCTTTAAATTCAATCATCCTCCTCATAGTGAAAAAATCAAAGTTTACATCATCCAATAGGCTTAAATTTCTTAAGTGAAAAGAATCTATCATCTATTTGTAAGCCCATTATGTGACAAGGAATAGTTGACAAAAACCTTGGAAAAGCAAACATCCTGGGCCAGAAACAGCAACAAGCTAAAAGGATCTCAAGGATGGGACCTTTTTTCTCTAGGAAAATCATGAGGGCATGCCTTGAGTTCAATGAATCATCACCTAATCATTCGACTTGGTGGCTCCTTGATAAATTTTGATTTAATGCAGTTGCACCTAATTATTGCATGGCATTAATGCTTAATTAAATCGTACGACTTATTGGCTTGTGTTGAAATGTAGTTCTCTTTGTTCATAACCTGGCTGTCACCCAAGTATTCTGTACCTACTGATGATCTCTACCTGTTAACAGCTAAAACTAGGATCAACACAAAGTCTGCTTCCCAATTTCATGTCATAGCCATGACTATAAATAATTCTTTGCTCAGCAAACTTTCTATAAGCCAAAAGGAATAAGAAAAAAAAATCATATCAACATAATTAGCCTATTGAGT